GAGGGCAATTGGTTTTACTCAGTCTCCCAGTGTAAATGTTCATCTCATTCAGAATTACCCTCCCAGGAACACCCAGAATAACATTTGGCCAAATATGTGGACAGCCCATGGCCTAGTCGAATGGACACATAAAAGTAACTGTGACCCCCACTTGCCTGGTGGGTGAAGAGGCAAGGGCATTTAGCTGACAGGGAGCCATGAAATTTGTGAAGAGCTATAACCAGAGATAAGCCTAATCCTGCAAGAAAGGGGCCATCCCATGAGAATGCTCCTGGCCACTTTGACCTAACAACTGCTCCTGGCAAGTTCACTCACATTTGATTAAGGTTATCACACAGTTCACAATGTAACACTGCACCTATCAGATGCCCACAATTAAAAAAATACTGATGGTGTCAAGTATTGGTGGAGCAACTGGAACGCTCATCATTTACTAGAAACTGTACAATAATACAACCCCTTTAGAAAAGTTTGGTAGCTTCTTATCAAGCGAAACATGCACTTGGTCCAGTTGATGGTGTGGTGGTTAAGGAGGCTGGATCCCAAATGGACAACTGCACAGTTTGAGTCCTGGACCTGGAGGCTTGAAAAACACATCAGACACACATGCATGTGTGCCCAAAATCCCAAAAGGAGGTAGAAACAGAGAAGAGATTGCAGCATGGCCATCTTCGCTGATGGGGTTGGGGGGAGGCTTTCTCATCCCTACCCTCCTTTCTCTTCCTATCTCTCTCCAGCAAGTGCATATGCCCAAAGAAAATTAAAAACAAAAGCAGAAATATGGACTTAACGCATGACCCCGTAATACCATTCCTAGGGATTTATCAAGAAAAATGAAAAATTACATTCACACACAAATCTGTATGTGAATAGCAGCTCATGATGCTCAAATACTCGAAAGAATCTAAGTGTCCTTCAATGGTTAAATGACAAACAAACATCCACAGGATGGAATAAAAAGGAGCAAGTCACTCCTGCAGGACATCACACTGAGTGAAAGAAGCCAGTCCCCCAAGCTTAGGTGTATGAGTCTACTTACAGGACATTTTCAAAAAGACAAAATAAGTGACAAAGAGCAGCTCAGTGGTTGCCAGGGCTCTGGGGTAGAAGGTGTAACTATAAAGAAATAGTACAAAGAATACTGGAATATTTGAGGGTATGAAACTGTTTGGTATCTTGGTTTGGTGGTAGTTACATGATCTACATGTGTTACCTTGTGTAGAATTATAAAACTCTCCTCCAACATCACATTCACTATATGAAAAATACTTCTTTTTCAAAACTGAGCTATAAAAAATAATTCGATGTCACCCGTTTATACATGAAATCCATACACCTAATGGAAAAAATATATAAGTGAGGTCCATATGAGCCCCAACCCGCCAATGATTTCAGGCTGCTATCTCTCACAGAAGTGGAGGCTTTTGTTTTGGGAAGACACAGATGAGTTCGCCCCTGAAAAAAATCTTTTGCACCACTGGAGGAAATAAGAAAAACAGGGGTTTAAAAAAAAAGGAAAAAGAAACTATCTACAAGACAGGATCAGTTAACCAAAATTGAATCCCAGACATACACATGCAGGTGGGCACGAGAAGGGCATCATTTGTACATCTCGGTAGATATGACCTTGTAATTCTTGGAAAAGGCAAACGAATTGTGATTTATAATGTTTCTTTTTCTAGCACTTTGTATTCAGGGTTTTTTTTTTTGGGGGGGGGGTGGTCAAAGCCTACAGCGAGGAAATTTAACCTGAAAGACAGAAGAGGATTTGCGCTGCATTTTTATCTCAATTCTGTCTGGTTCCCTGGTCCTTATCTTCACAGTAGCCTCCGACTTCCAGAGCCACACGAAGCTCCAGTGAGGACAGCATTGTGACCGTCCATTTTCCTCTGCTGTTCTCTAAGCAAGACGTTAATTCCCTACCCTGTTAAAACTCTCTCTTCCTTTAAAGCCTGGGTGTTCAGGGGAGAAGGTTTGCCTTCAGAGGACATGTGGTAAAGCCTTGACACATTTTCGGTTGTCACAACTAGAAGGGGCGGGAGCTCTGGCACCCAACGGGTAGAAGCCACAGATGCCACTAAACATCCAACCACACACAGGACAGCTGCCTGAGCGACGAATGATTCAGCCTCACGCGTCAGGAGTGCTGGGGTTGAGAACTCCTGGCTTACAGACAGGAAGGAAGAAAAATGTAATAAACACATCCATGAGCCAGCACTATGCTAGGTGTTTTGAAATTATTTTCTCATTTATCTCCCCCAAACCTTTTTGAGGTGGTTTATAATTTTTAAATTTTTTCCTGGTTTTGCCATAGGGCATGTGGGCTTGCCAGAGAGGGACAGCAGGGGCGGGGGAAGAAAGAGGAGGTGAGAAATTACCCCTAGGAGGAAGGCCACATTGCAATCTGTTCTATTCTCAGAATTTTGGGTACATACACACACGTGTCCAGCATGTTTTCCAAGCCACTGGTCTGGGACTTGAATTGCACAGTTGGCTATGTGGGATCCAGCTGCCTTAACCACCACACCATCTGGCTATCCCAAGGTGGGTATTTTTTTTTTTTTTTGAAAGGTTTTCACTATAGGATGACGCATTTGGTGAAAAGATGGAGAAACACAGAGAGACAGAAAGAGAGAAATCACTCCCAGGGGGGACGGTCATGCTGTAATCCCTTCTCCTCCATTCTCTTCTCAGGATTTTGGGCACACACACACACGCACCTGGTGTGAGTTTTAAGCTGCTGGGTCTGGGACATGAACCGTGGTCGACAACATAAGAGTCTAGCAACATAACTATTATGCCATCTGCTGGTCTCCTGAGGTGGGTATTATCAATCCATTTTATAGTTAAGAAATTTGTGGCTGAGACTCATAAAGGAAAGTGCCCAAATCTCAGCAATGAGACCAGAAACCATGGGCATCTTGGGCACCTGGATTGCAAAGCCCAGTTTCCTGCAAGTGAGGCACCCAGGGCTGGGCTGGCTGCTCTGTGCACCTTTCGCTTTCTTCTCTGCTCTTAAACACCAACTTGTACCCCTGAGATGGTCTAAGAAGGGGAGCTGTTGGACTGGCTGAGGGGCAAGTCTGAACTTAAGAGCTTCCTAGGATATGGAGGGCCTGTCATCACTGAGAACCACCTAGAAGTGCCTTGTTCCAGAACCTTCTTTAGCTCCATCGATTCCCTCCTTTTTCAGGGCACTAAAGTACCCTCCATCTAAAAGGCCTAGACACAGGCCCCGCTGCACCCGTGGTGGCTTCCTCTCCTGTCCTGTGTACTCAGGCAGGAAGCTGGGGACAGGGAGGAGTGGGAGATAAGACAAGGAAGGCCAGAGAACAATGTGCAGCGGTTACTGTCCCATAATAACATCCGACGGGCAGGGCTTTCCTGAGAAAAGCAGCAACATGTCTTAAAAACAAGTTCTACAATCACGCTGAGTGATCCTGGTGCAGTTTTATCCATTATATTGGATCATTGGTAAAGTCATGATGTATTTTTCTGTTTTCGAAAGTCATGGCTTTTCTGACGACCCAGTATAATTAGTGTTGGCAGAAGCTTAAAGATGGGGCAAGTATGTGTCTAAGGTAGAGGAAGAAGGAAGGGATGAGGGGAGGAAAAGAGAGAAACAGGAAGAGAAGGAGAAAAATCTGGAAGACAGGAATCGAGGAGAGAGGATTTACGTTGGAAGCTTAATGGAAAAGTTGGAAATGAGATGAACTAACAAAGAAAGACTAGCTATGGTTTGAATGTGTCTCACCAAAATTCATGAGTTCAGATTTGGCTATGGTGAGATTAAGAAGGTGAAAGTTTAATCTGAGTATGGTGTTGAAAAGTAGGACCTTTGGGAGGAAATTAGAATTAGATAAGGTCATCAGGGTGGGGGCCCCATGAATGAAGCCTGGAGGGGATTTGTAAGGAGAGAGAATAAGACACATGCAGACTAGGCACGGCTCTGCTCTGCTCAAGCTCCTGCCCTCCACCAAGTGATCCGTTAGCAATAAGACCTTCCCTCGATGTGGCCCCTGGACCAGCGGACCTCCATACTGTGAGCTGAGTAGATCTTTATATTTTTTATGAATGAATGAATATTATTTTTCAATGTAACCAGAGAGACAGAGAGACAAAGGGAAACTGAGACAGCAAGCCATCAGGTCTGGGACTCAAACTGTGGTTGACCATGTGGGAGTCCAGTGCCCCAATCACCATGTCACCTGCCGGCCCCAGATCTTTTATTTTTATACATTACACAGACTTAGATCATTGTGGCAACAGAATGGACTAAAACAAAGATAAACCTCAGTGAAGAAGCCCCAGACTTATGGAGGCCTCTGCGAATCAGGTGGAACGATACTAACGGAGCTGCTCTTCAGAATTTTTTCTCACCAACAGCAGCTAGGTCCCAGGCCAGGCACACCAAGGTTCTCAAACACAGCACAACCAATCCTGATGAGGCTCCAGGCCTCACCACTGTCTTGTCCAGCTGGAAGGAAGCTGTGGGCTGACCTCAATTACACTCCCTGTCCTACCAGCTTACCACCAGCCAGTCTGATTTTTTTTTTTTTTTTTTTTTTTTGCTATAGGGCGCGTGCACTTGCCAGAAAGACAGAGAGAGACAGAAAGCAAGAAATCACCCCCAAGGGGGGATGGCCATGTTCCAATCCCTTCTCCTCCATTCTCCTCTTGGGATCTTGGGCAAGCACGCACACACACCTGGTGTGAGTTTAAGTCACCGGGTCTGGGACTCAAACTGCGGTCGGCTACATGGGAGTCCAGTGACATAGTCATTATGCTAACTGCTGGTCCCCTGATGTGGGTTTTCTATTTCTGGCAGAGGAAAGCATTCCAAACACCACAGCAGGGTCCCAGGTACCAGAACCTCCTTCCCATACAAACATTGTGTGACACCAAATGCAGCAAGCGGGTGAGTGAGATTCTTGGAGTGAGTAGGCCACCCCGAAAGTCTCCTCCTCCAGCCCAACCCAGACGCCCCCAGCAGCACTCACAGTTCTAAGATGAGAATGACGTCAGTCTTGTTCTCGTACACCTCATGCAGGGTGATGACGTTGGGGTGCTGGATCTCCTTCAGGATGCTGACCTCCCGCTCGATGTCCTCGCGGCTCACACCCCGCCGGCTGGATTTAGTCCTCCTTTTCTTGATGAACTTGGCGGCATACTGGAGACCGGTGCTCTTCTCACGGCATTTCTTCACAACCGCAAACTGGCCGCTGAAAGGAAGAGATGGAACGGTCGTTACTGTGCACTCATAGCAGCCTCTGAGTGAGGATGGGGAATGGAACAGTTCACACTGTGGGCTATTATGTTAGGTAAGCTATTTCAGTTTTATGAAGACTTTTTTTTTTAATGAATAATGGTGCAAAGAATACAATTTCTTAAGGCTGGTTTTGTTGGCTGGGATATAACATCTACATGTCTGTGCTCTCTTCCATTTCAGGTCCCGAGACTGCAGGAAGTTGCTCTTTGATCTCATCTCACTTCCGACAAGCTCTTTTCCTGTATGTCCAGTCATAAAACTGGGAAACGAAGGGATCGAGGTCAGGAAATTGGCATAGAAATGCCTAGGCCTTGCCTTCAATGACATATTTCAATGTTCATCAGTTGAACACCCAGAATGACAAAAGCTCTATAACTGAGAGACTGAAAAGTCATTAGATTTTGCTTGGCAATTTCTCTAGCATGATGTCCCCTCTTTTCCTTTCCCAACAAAGTCTAGATCTAGGGGTCTTCATGGTCTTGGGGAAGCTGACTCCACCCCCAACTACAGGCATGGGTCAAGTGACCCAGGCAAGGCCAATTGGTGCCCTGTATTCCCCTAGCACTAACAGCAGGCTCATAGGCATGTAAGGCCTTTGAGAGAATGCACAAAGGCTCTCTCAGACTTTATCCTTCTGGATAAGAACACTCAACTACACAACCCCAAAAGCTGCTTCCAGCTATCTTGGGACCATGAAGGGAGCCACTCTTGGTTTGAAGACAATCATTGGAGGCAGATTTTCCAGTAGGAGGAAAGGAGTAAGGTCTGTGGTAACGCCGTGGAGTGGTTGGATCAACTGAGGCTGAAGCCATCAGTCTTTGGATTCTTCTTTAGCAACCTAAGCCAATAAATTCTCTTTACTGCTAAAGCCAGTTTGATCTGGGTTTTCTATTTCTTGCAGAGGAAAGTATTCCAAACACCACAGCAGGAAGCCAGAACCTCCTTCCCCATACGTGAAAATTGTAATAACAGAGTGTGACACTAAATACTGTGTGAGCGGGGCAGTAGGCAGGCGAGCGAGATCTTGGGTAAGTAGGCTACCCCCAAGGTCAGGGAACCACAGTGAACAGCCCTCCTGCATCGATACACCCACCCTTGCTTCTTCCATGGGCCATAGGAAGGGTCGATCCACCCCTGACAGGATAGGGACATTTCTTGGCACCTGCTGGAGAAGGGCTATGTAAAGAATTACCATGTTTAATTTTAGCTGGCTTTACGTTCCTCACGTGAAGACAAAAAAGAAGGAAGAACATCAAATTAAGGATAATATTATGATGTTAAAGAATGGATACTTTAAAACATTACTCATTTATTTTAGCAGCGGGAGGCCAGTGAAGAAAAAAAATCACATCATGAAGGATTATTTTTATAGCCGTGCCAATTTCCTTGCATGACAGGTTATTAATACTCTCTTTCCCCCTGCAGCAGGATAGCAGAGACGAAGAAGAATAAATCACACTGGAACGCGGGCACTGACTGCCAGTAAATGAGCTACCTAAAAGAGTCGTGAGGTCTACGTTACGACTTCATTACAACCATGTTCCAATTTCTCTGGGAAGCGAACACTGTTTCTCTATTGGGGTGTGGAGAGCAGCAGAGATGGGTGATACGGAGGGAAGAGGGGAAACTGACTGAATACAAAATCCACTTAGCTGCAGTGTGAGAGTCCAGTGAAGAGACACTTCTATGGCCTCTTCTTCGAAAAGATGCTGTCGTGTTGTGCACACGGAGCACATTCAAGGGGACCCTGGCATGGAGGGGTCCGGTCCAGGACAGCCAGCCAACCAGCAAACTGCGCGTTGTGTCCAGAGGCTGGGCCTGCCCAGGCACCTACCTGGTCATAACAGCTTGTCACAGGAGCCTCTGTGGCTGGCATCCTGGGGCTTTAAAATGAAAAGCCACGGAGCCAGAGACAAAACCTTTCGGCAGGAGAGCCACAAAGAATGTAAATGCAAACCTTCTGAGTGTGTCCTCACAGCCAATCATCCCAGGATGAATGCTCCCCCTTTTATTTATGGGAAGGTGGCTAACCAGAATGGCAGGGTTAGCGCTGGCACTAAGCATTCTGTGTGCTCAAGGCCAGCAGTCTGTGCACATGTCCGAGTGCACCGTGTTGCCTGAGTTTGCAGCCGAACATCTGCAGCTCGCCCCCTCACCCAACAATCGATTCTTCCCTCACACTCTGGGAGCTCCACCATGCAGGGTGCTGGCTAGAGATGAGCCGGTAGATTGGAAGAGCCCCACCTATGCCTGGATGCTGGAGTCCTGGCTCACCCTAAGTATGGAGGTCAAGTGAAGGTTTAGAATGCTCAAGAGAAATGCGTTCTAGTCCTAGCTCAGTGCCACTTATTTCAAGAAACCTTTCCCCATTTTGCTCTGACTCCCCCGATCTACCTGCCCCTGTGCCAATCCAGTTCTCCTTTAGGTCCTTCAGGTCCACAGAGTGCTGTCAATTCCTTGGGGACAGAGGCTGCCAGGTGCAGAGTAGCTCCCTGGGGTCTAGGCACGCACAATGCTGAGGTGCTCTTCTGCGATCTGAATCTGCAACCCTGAGAACCAGAGGTGTTAAGTGGAGGCTGCCGCATGACAACGCGTGGAACCTGGAGCCACGGAGCAGCTAGGAGCACATACACCCGCGAGCTGCACCGCTGTGAACTTGCGTACAACCTGACCACGCTGTGGCTCGACCTCCTGGTATCAGCGTGCCTACCTTGCAGGGTCGTTGAGCCCTTGGGGAAGGATCAAATGAGCTAATAAGCATGACGTGTGGAGGACGGCGTGTGATCCCAGTCAGTCTTCCGTAACTGTTAGCTGTGATTAATCTGCAAACTGGAGGCATTTTCCCTCGCGCACTCTGCTTCAGTCTCCAAGTGATGCAGTATTACACTCAAAACATCACTTCTCATGACTCAAAATATCACCTCTCAAGACTGCTAGGGAGAGAAGAGCTCTAATAGCTCCCCCCGCCAGCCCCCCAGCCCTCAGAAAGAAGAGCCCGCAGCAGGGCTGTGTTGTGTTAACAATGTGTAAGACTATTGCTAAATCTGGCCTTTGGCTTCAAGCTTCAGACACAACATCCCCTTCCCCGTTTCTTCCTGACCCCACCCAGGGTGTGTTTTTGCTTACAGCAGCTAACCGTAGGCCGCCCTGCCTTGGGAACTCAGTTACGAGCTGAGCTGATGTGACAGCACCCAGGCCCATGCCAGGCCCTGGGGCCTCCACGCACCTGGTAACGCCCACAGGGCTTTTCCACAGCAGAATTTGCTCGGGCTGCCGGTGAACCGTAAGGACAGAGTTGTTGGAGGGAAAATTCTTCTCTCATGACAGCAATTTGCTCTGCGAGGTGCAGAGCAACCCATTTTAAGACGATCCTCTACTTCCTGGATACTGGCTCTTGACCACGGGTTCCCTACAGCCAGCTCTCCACCCTGGATATACACTGCTTAGGGACAGTTCCTCTTCACCAAGCCCTGCCACCCTAACAACGACAAAACAACTGCTTTGTTTATCTATTTATTTTTTAGCAAGTGGTTCTAAATTGTGGGTTCCCTAACTAATGACAAGATACTGCTTCCAGGGTGAGCTCAGCCCATGGGTGCATACACGTACCCAAAGACGCAAGGTTTCCACTGCAGCCACTCTGGGGCCACTTGTCCCCAGCCCTGCTTTCCTCCTACCAACGCGCTGAGGCTAGCCTATAATGCACACTGATACGGATGGCTGCAAGATTAGCTCACTACATAACGTGGCTGCTCAGTGGGTGGGGAATGCGGTTCCCTCGCTGGAATACCCAGACTCTCTCTCTCTTTTTTTTCTTTTTTTGGAGGGTTTTTTTTTTTTTTGTTGTTATTATAGGGCGTGTGCGCTCGCCAGACGGACAGAGAGAGACAGAGAGACAGAAAGTGAGAAATCACCCTCCAGAGGGGATGGCCATGCCGCAATCTCTTCTTCTCCATTCTCCTCTCGGGATCTTGGGCACGCACGCACTCACACCCGGCGTAAATTTAAGCCACTGGGTCTGGGACTCGAACCGTGGTTGACTACATGGGAGTCTAGCGACATAGCCATTACGCTAACTGCTGGTCCCTACCCAGACTCTCTTTATATTGGCCATGACGTTTAATTTTGATGAGACAGTACAAATGAGTCTCATGATCCGTGGATTCCCTACTTGTGGATTTGCCTACTCGTTAAAATTGACTTCTCTTTCTCCAATCAATACTTGGGGGCCCTTTAACCGTCATTCACAGATATGTACTGGTCGGCAAAACAACACTAGAGGCTGAGCCCAGGTTCCTAGCCCAGGTCGAAGGAGGTGATGCTCTGCCGTCTGGCTCCCGCTGCAAACACACATTCTCCTTGTGGTTATTCAATTGCACATTTTTTCATAATTTTGTGCTTTGTGTCAGTGATTTCATTGTTTACTGCCCCCCTGGCACAGTGCTGTGGTGCTGTCTAACGTCCCTGTGCGGGAGAGGGCTGTGATGTACTTGAGGGAGGAAATACCTGGGCTAGGTGGCGCACTGACGATGATTTCAAGACAATAACCAACACTATGTATCGGACAAGGTGTCTTTAAACAGAAACAGGCCTGGAGCAAGGTTAGGTGACCAAAACTCCATCCTCTGAGCCCCGTCCCTGTGGTGACCTCCGGTGCCTTTTGTTTGACACACCAGTCACCTCGCGGTGAGGTATGCACAGACCAAAGCATTATTCCAAGAAAGGGCTTTGCAGGAAAAGCAAAGGCAAGGGCCCGTGATTAAATCAGTTTGGGTAATGCTGGCTTCTCTATCCTGTTGAAAACTCAGGAAGTATTTCGGTTCACTGAAACTATTGCTTTGGAGCTAGTAGGTGGTGTTAAGGCACTGGACTCCCTCACGGCTGACTACAGTTTGAGTTCCGGACCTAGTAGCTTGCTTTCTCACTTTCTCTCTCTCTCTCTGGAATACATGT